CTACTGGATTGGCTGAGACTAGTGAACTCCCCAAACTAACTCTGGAGGTTGGTTACCTTACAGCTTAACAACAGGCTGGGTCACAAAATAAAGACTATCACCTATGAGCACTGTGCTTTCACAAAACATGATCTATGTGACACCAAATGATCAGGTCATAAAACTAGATCAACGGGAACGGAACAACCAGAATGGAAATGACAATGTTCATGCACTGTGATGAATGTAACCCATGTTACTGGAAAATGTGTACAGAAATTGTTGAATGGGAACTTAAACTGCTGTGTAAACCTTCACAGAAAACCAATAAACAAAACAAAAACAAAAACAGGGACACACAAATGCTAACAATCTGCCAGTATTCCATAGGTAATGACTCTCTGAGTCAAGAGTCATACGTAGTCTGCAACTCCGTTCTATTGTCTTCATATGTTAAATAACAATGATGCAAGAATCAAATTGGTTGCAAAAAGCATATTATAACTTTATAAAATGTTAAACTTATAATTCACACAATCATTTATTTAATAAGAAAAGAATAGGAAGGAGTTTAAACACCCATAAACATTTATGAAATCACTAGAATATTGTCTATTTAGAAAAAAAAACAAAACAAAAAACACACTCAGCTTTAGATTTACTCAGTGTGTGTTGCTGAAGAGCCTACTGCTAGAAGGACGACAGCATGTGATCGCTGTCTTGACAGGACAGCCCCTGATTTGGACAGCATCTGGTGCAGAGGACAAGGCAGGAATTACAGGTGGGCACCAAATAGGGCAAGGTGGTAAAAGTGAGAGTGGCACACACCAGGGAAAAAGCAGGCTGCTCAGCTGCCAGAAGCTGCAGGGAAATGTGCTCAAGGGCCCTGGGTGTTGGGCGGCGGGACTCAATGGCTGCTAGCACAGCAGGAAAGGCCCCTGAGCTGAAGAGGCACAGGATTCTGTCCTGTGGCGCAGATGGAGAGGAGGGGGCAGACTGGCCCACAGACCAGAGGGCAGGAAGGGGAAGAAGACATTTGTTATCAGCAGCATAGGGAGAAGTCACATGATGAGAGACAACAGAAACTGGAGGCCAACAGAGGAGACCTATTGCCATCAAGTCAATCCTGAGTCACAACAACCCTACAGAAGAGAGTACAACTGTCCCATAAGGTTTCCAAGCTGCAAATCTTTACAAGAGCAGGCAGCCTCATTCTTTTCCTATGAAGCAGCTAGTGGGTTTGAACCACTGACCTAGTGCTGGCAGCCTGATACTAACCCACTGTGCCATCAGGGTTCCTTATCAGAAGAGAAGGGTGGAACAAAGTCTTCCCTCAACAATATTTCTGTTCTCTAAATGGTATCATCTTCTCTAAAACTAAAAACCTTCCTACGCATGTCAGAAAGTGCCCAAGAGGGAAGGGGCCAGTAATCTCCCACAACACAGAAGAAGTGGGGGAACCAGAAAGAGGAAGAGACAGACACAAAGAAGTTTCCTTCTGGGATGATTCGTGAATGACTGGATAGATATCTGAGAAGCTGAAAACAGGTCCATTGAAATCAAACACTGGATGTATGTCCAGGGGGAGCTGGGAAATAAAGAACTAAAGATGGGATGGGGGAAGGGGGCTACTGAATCCAGTAGTGAGTGAGGTCAGTGGCCTCAACCAGCAGGAAGCCACATGTGCTAACACATAACACCTTTGCCTATACAAGTCTAAGAGCTAGGAACAAGAAAACAGGACACAGATGGCAAAGGAGCATGTCATTTCTTTCTTCCACACCAGTGTGGAATGGGTGGTAACTTGGTTTTGGAGAACAAAAGCTAAGGCTCGGTCCCTGCTCCACCAGCTTTGTGGCCTGACACAATAAATATGAGGGAGCATTAAAAGTTTTGTGGGAAAAAACAAGAGTTAAAAGACAATTGAAGCAATAGAAAAAGTGAAGAGAGGTAAATATTGTTAACTGTTGGCACATGGAAGAGATTGCAACCAAGTTATGAAGCAAAGTATATGATTTGCTGAATGTAAAACTGATGATCTGCTCTGTGAACCTATATTCAATTCACAATAAAAAGTTGAAAGAAAGAAAAAAAAGATAATTGAAGTTTTTCACAAACTTTATGACGCTCACTCACACTTAATGAGCAAATTAATACAGGGTTTGGGCAAGACATTTCCGCTTCCTACGCTTGGCTTTATTATTTCTAGAATGAGGACAGCAAGAGTCTCCACCTCATGGGGCTGTGTTGTTATTGTTGTTAAGTACCGATGAGTCGATTCTGACCCACAGTGACCCTGTATAGGGTTTCCAAGGAGCAGCTGGTGAGCTTGAACTACCAACCTTGTAGTTCACACAACTCTGCAGTCTGATACATTAGCCCACAGCGCCACACCAGGACTCCTGGGGCTATGTAGAGAGGATCAAATGAAAAAATGCCTGCAAAACACAGGCTGCTTAAATGCTCCCTCCTGTTAATTACAACACATTGCTGTAATAATTATCAGTGGGGAGTGACCTGACCCCAAAAGGGAGAATTTGCAGGAAGTCAAAGCAGGAGAGAACACTAGGTAAACCTGGGCTAGGAAGGCATCTACTACAACCACAGGAGGCCAACCATCCAAAGGATGCCAAAGGAGGAGGGGTTGCTATTTTTTATTTTGATTCACCATGAAACACTTTACTATAAACACATGATATCACATTGATTGGCGGTTCCAATGTTTTTTCTAGAAGTGTAAGAACATAAATATGACATTATTAATCCTTAGACTATGGTGGTGGTGGTTATGTGCCGTGGAGTCGGTTCTGACTCATAGCTACTCTATACAGGGCTTCTGAGACTATAAATCTTTACGGGAGAGCAGAAAGCCTCATCTTTCCCCCATGGAACAGCTGGTAGTTTCGAACTGCTGACCCTGAGGCTAGCAACCTGATTCGTAATCACTACACTTCAATGCCATCAAATCTAAAACTACTGATAAATGAAGAAAGAATTTGAATACACCAAAAGCTGCTAGCACCACAGAAAGATAGACACCAGAAACAACATCCCTGTGGATAGAAGGCCACCCCAGGCCCCAGGAAGGAGTGCTGAAGAATGAAAGATAAAGAAGGGTAAGGGAGGAGCCACCAAAACAAAGGTTCGGGTCCCCTCAGAGCAAACCTCTTTCCAAGACTAAGACTCAAGGGGAAAACATGAGCAGGCAGGCATGTGATCTGGCTGGTGACCATATTGGTCACCGATAAGGAAAAGTGGGGGAAAAACAGCAATGAACTTGTGGGCCAGGTCCGACCTTGTTCAATAGACTCCTGTGTGCCTGAGTTGAGACCTGGTTGGCCAGCAGTATGGCAAGGCCCAGGGACTCCTGGGCCCAGGGACAGTGACATGGCCACAGAGGACTAGAGCAGAGACCAAAGCTTCCAGCTGATATGAAGTGAGGGGAGATGCACGAGAACACCCATACTGGCAGATAGTACCCACTTGACCTGACTTCAATGGCTGGATGACCAGAACTCGACTAGAAGAAGAAAAAAGAGGGGAAAAAAAAAGTGTAATCCACTACAATCTGATGAACCTGACCTATACTTATGGGTGTAGCAGCTCAAAAGAGGGAACTAATCTTTACAGCAAGGATCATTCCCACCCCCTCAGTACACAAGGTTGACAGGGATGGACAATTTAGATTTTGGCTACACAAAATGGGGGTGCTACAAAGTGACTGGCTTACAAGCTTTCAAGAGGGAGCCTAGTTCCAGAAGGGGGCAGGGGAAGGTAGAATCTCCACTGAGTGGTTTCCAATCTGTTGGGATGGAGCTGATGAAAGGAGATGCGGATAGAACTCCTGTGGTACAACAGTGAATGATCTTTATCAGGACTGACTGTGAGGGTCAGAAATGTAAAGGCAGATGTTTTGTAACAAAAGGAGGAGAGTGGCTGACTTTGCAGTCCAGGAGTGGAGGTCCCTGGAACCATCAAGGGAGAAAAGCTCAGTGCAGGACCCCATCCAGAGAAGTAGTGACACCAAAAATGGAGGCAGAGACAATGACATGGAGAGATGGAGCAGCTGGGGACTCTGGACTCAGAGAGGGATAGGGGCTATGTGCTGACAGCCAGGGGGCAGACTTGCGGGATATACCCTTTGGTTGTTCGATGATGCATGGAGGGGATTGTAATCATTGCAATGAAACGAAGTATGATAGGATGAATGTAAAACTGGTGTTTTCCCATGTAAACTATTATGTAATTCACAATAAAAACTTTAAAAAAAAAAAAAAGGGTGAGGAGACCTGTGCCTGGTCAATCTCCAGTTCCAGAGTCCATCTACAGTCCAGAGAGGCAGATGACCAAGGTGATGGACACACAAGGATGTGGTCATCAGAGTCTAATTATGGAGAGACAACAGGCCAGAGGGCCAGTTTCTTCAAAAAATTAAATGGCAAGGAAAAAAAGGGGGGAGGGGGGGTGCTCACGGATTTAAACAGAAGACTAAGGAGACATGCCAACTGAGTATATACATGGACATCATGTGGATCTGGAGTCAAACAAGCAATAACAGTTACCAGACCACTGGAAAACCAAATACTACTTGAATAATTTACAATTTAAGGAATTATTGTTGCTGTTGTTAAGTTCTGACCCATAGTAATCCTACGTACACTAGAATGAAACACTACTGGGACCACTGTGGCATCACTATGACAATCCATCTTGTTAAGGGTTTTCCTCTTTTTTGCAGGCCATCTACTTTACCAAGTATGATATCCCTTCGGATCATATGTCAGATCAAAATCTGCATAGTGATGATGTTTTTAAAATAATCCTATCTTCCAAAGATAAAAAGAGAGTAATGGATTAAAATATAGAATTTTCTTCCTATTAAAGACTAGCCATGAGTTGAGAACTTTCAGAGCTGGTGACAAGAACAGAGGTGCAAGCCCTGAGGTTTTCTAGAATCAGATGGTGCACTACGCCTAGTCAAGCACAGAGGCATTTGGAGGCTGGGCCACCTGCACTGGTACCTGAGCTGGTCTTGGCTTTGTTCTCTGCGGTGCTCATGGCCGGGGTGGGCACTGATGCTACTGAGGACGGACAGGTGCTCTTCTTCCCTTTCACGCCGTTTGTCACTGTTGCCCCTCCGGCCATTCCAGCTAAGAGGTCATCACTGCTCTTGGTCTGAAAGCAACAGGAAAGAAAGACAAAGTGATGAGGTGAAGCAACTGTCCCAAATGAGCACACTAAGCTTGCATCATGAGTCCCAGAGTGCCACAGTGAAAGGTTGTGAGCTGGCAGCCAGGTGCTGGTAGCCAGGGGGCAGGCTTGCAGAATGTGTCCTTTGGTTGTTTAAATGATTATATATTCCTGAATGATTTTGTGTACATACCCCCTAAAAAACAAAACAGAGGGAATAGAAGGAAATACTGTTGAATGATAATACACAGAGAATATTGCAATCATTGCAATGAAACAATGAGTGTAAAACTGGTGTTCCCCCATGTAAACTAATCACTCAATTCACAATAAAAACTTTAAAAAACAAACACCTGCCTGCTACTGGAGTAACAAGAGACATACAGAATAGAACTGAGAGTCCAGAAATAAACCTACATATTATGGTCAAATGAAGCTTAACAAAGGTGATAGTCCATTTGACAGGGGAAGAACACACTATTCAATAAATGGTGTTGGGAAAATG